TGCATGCATGCATGCCTGAGTGGGGGAGGGGCAGAAAGAGAGGAGAGAGAGAATCCTAAGCAGGCTCCATATTATCATAGCAGAGCCCAGTTTGGGGCTTGAATTCACGAACCATGAGATCATGACCTGAGCCAAAACCAAGAGTCAGACTGAGCCCACTAAACCACTCAGGTGCCCCGAGGTGTGATTATTCATACATCACTAACTCACTACCATGAGCTCCTTGTGAACAGGAAGCATTTTAATTTTCTCTGCATTTCCAATACCTAGCACCCAGCATTTAGCATGGCACATAGAAGCCAATGAATGCACATTTGCAGACTAAATGAATAAATTTTCTAGCATAATAATTTCCATGTAATAGTTACTAAGTAAACATTTATTGGATTATATTTAATAAACACTGTCAAAACAATGTAACCCACAGAAACAAAAAAGTTGTTAAAAGAGTTGAGCAAGTTTCACAGAATGCCTTTTCTGCCTTTCCCCTGGAGCCCTGTTCCCATCTCTATCCAAGATCTTGGGTTTTCTAAAAAAAAAAATCTAGGATAAGTTGCTTTTCTTCCTTCCTTTTCTAAATTTTAAGCAGACTTTAAGGCTCTAGTTATCTGTATTTGGGGTTTGGGAATCTTCTCAGTTTTTGCATTTTCTTTCAATTCGTGGCATGAGAAACTTACCTGCAAAGCTCCTGAGCCAATTTGATTCATAGCTTTCCAGTGGAACTCTGACAAGAGCAAGGAACCTCAGCCAATATTTTTCGCAAGCTGTCACAGTATTTCAGGGCCAAGGTAATAAAGCCCTCTTCTGATTGCTGACACATCTGTCATCAGCTGTCCTCTGCAGGCAAAGGGAACTGCTATGCAAAGGTATGAAGGGGAGACAATGAATGGGGTTAGTTCAGGAAACTGAAATTAATTCAGTGGCTAACATAGAGGAATTAAATTTAATTGCAGCACGAACCTGGAGAGGTGGACAGGAACTACATCATGAAAACCATTGTGTCCTACTCAGGAAGGTGGACTGTTATCCTGAACGTTTTTATAAGAAAATCTTTAAAATTATACATATCTTTTAAAAATTAAAATTTTTTATTCAAAGCAATACCTGTTTAATGTTGAATTTTTTACAAAGTGCAGAAATGTGGAAAAATTATTCTTAATCCATTCACTCAGAGATAACTATTTTAAACATTTAGATATGTTGGGGTGCCTGGGTGGCTCAGTCAGTTAAGTGTCTGACTCGTGAGTTAGGCTTCGGTCATGGCCTCACATTTCATGGGTTCAAACCCCAAATCGGGCTCTGCGCTGACAATATGGAGCCTGCTTGGGATTCTTTCTCTCTCCCTCTCTCTCTCTTCTTCTCCCTGTTCGTTCATGTTCTCTCTCTCTCAAAATAAATAAATAAATTTAAGAATAGTAAACATTTAGATATGTTTTTATAAACATTTAGATATGTGCATATAAACATGAATAAAAAGAAAACAAGACAAAGCTCATACTACATATATTTATTGCTTTGTAACTTGCATTTTCATAAATACTTCACAAACAGTTGTCTTCTAAAACATGATTTTTGAGAAACATTTTTTTTTCTTTGAGAGAGAGCACATGCTTTCGCGTGGGAAAGGGGCAGAGGGAGAGAGAGAATCCCAAGCAGGCTCCATGCTCAGTAGGGAGCCTGACACGGGTCCATCTCACAATAGTGAGATCATGACCTGGGCCAAAATCAAGAGTCAGACACTCAACTGACTGAGCCACCCCAGGGACTTTTTTTTTGTTTATTTAACTTTTTTTAAATTTAACTTTTTTTTAACTTTTAACTTTTTTTAAATTTAACTTTTTAAAAATGTTTATTTATTTTTGGGAGAGCATGAGCAGGGGAGGAGCAGAGAGAGAGGGAGACACAGGCTCCAAAGCAGGCTCCAGGCTTCTAGCCATCTGCACAGAGCCCAGAGGCAGGGCTTGAACTCACAAACCGCAAAATCATGACCTGAGCCCAAGAGGTCGGAGGCTAACTAACTGAGCCACCCAGGCGTCTCCCCCTCTCCAATTTAAATTTTTAAGTAGCCAAATCTACCAGTCTTTTCCTTTATTGTTTCCTCCTTTGCTTTTTTTTTTTTGTTTAGAAAGTTCCTCCCCTGAGGAGGCACCTGGGTGGTGACCCAGTCCATTGAGCATCTGACTCTTGATTTTGGCTCAGGTCAAGATCTCATGGTTTGTGAGTTAAGCCAGGCTTTGCACTCAGAGTGCTGAGCCTGCTTGGGAGTCTCCCTCTCCCCTCTCTCTCTGCTCCTCTCCTCACTTTTGCGCACGAGTGCTCTTTCTCTCTCTCAAAATAAATAAATAAATAAACTTAAAAAAATTTCCTCCCCTGAATGCTTCTAACCACTTCCTGTTTGGTGCGTTCAGATTCAAATAGATTCTTGCTTAAATAAACTCTTTGGGGAAAAAAAAAGATTCCTTCCATTCTGAGATCAAGTTTTTTTGTTTTTGTTTTTGTTTTTTTTAAAGCATTTTTTTCTTCTAACTCCCTTATGGTTTTATTTAATACTTCAGGATTTCATTTTGATAGGGTGAGACAGGGTTCTAATCCTGCCTCCCCAATAGGGTGCAGTTAATAAGTTATCAGTTTATTAAATCCATCCTTTGATTCAAATGCTACCCTTATTATAATTGTTATCATCCTGAGATTTCATCTATTGAGGGTTACAGGAATGAGAGCATTTGGGGCAGTGAACAAACACCATAGGGATAGACAGTGCCACCAAAGTTATGAACATTTGGACCAGGAAGAGGGAAAACGGGAAAAATGTTGTGCCTGTTTGGATTATGGTGATTGCTATAGGTTTTTAATTTAGTAGTGGAATAATCGAATAAGTATTTTTCAAGAAAGTTGCCCATTAAAATATCTAAATGAAAAATTTGAAGAGCAGGCAAGAGAAAACAGAGCAATCTTCCCCCAAATAACTGAGTCTATAAACGTAATTCCACAATCAGCTCACGAGCCATCTGTCACATGGACTACTGTACTTTAAACATTGCTCATATATAAAATTTGGGAGAGGAAGTTGGGTTATTTCGAGGATATTTCGCTTAGAGAAAATGAAACTTTATTTTTAAATGTGGTGCTCATCACTAATGTACTAATCCGTGCACAAATTCAATTCCTTCCTGCATTTTCATACTAACGTCAGCCTGAACAGCTAAGGGAAACCCCATTGTTTGTGCGTCTTGAGCACCGGATTCCTTCCTGTTTTCCCTTTTTGCAAACGGCAGTTAAACACGGGAACAGGAGCCCGGAGACGTTAGCCCGCAACAGAAAGTTATTTTTTACTCTAACGGCGGTTTTCGTAACCGGGAAAGATACAAAAGTGCGATGTGCAGGTTACACCACAGAACTTCCCGGGGTTTCCTCTACTCCCCACTCGCGCGCGGGCACGTCGGGACTCGCTGGGTGAGCGGCGCTCAGCGACGCCGCCGGGCGCCGGGAGGCGGCGCGCGCGCCGGCTGGAAACGCCCCTCGGTCTCCGCCGGCCGTGGAGGGTACCCGCGGCGGTGACGTAAGGGGGGCGGGGAGAGGCGCAGTATGGGGCTGCGAGGTTTTTGCCGGAACAGGAAACCTCACCGCGGGTGAAGGCACCGCTGGCGAAGGCACCGCTGGCGAAGGCACCGCTGGCGTTGCACGCAGGCGCTGCGGGGCTGGCAGGTGTGCGGCGTGTGCACCTCGAAAGTGATGGAACTCGGCGCGAGCGCCCCCGGGTAGCGCCGGTGAGGCTGCGGGGCCTGGCCCGGGCAGCCATGGGTCTCCTTCGCCTGCTGGTTCTGGCGATGCTGGCGTCCAAACCCGGTGTGACCGGTGGAGCCGAGGCCGTCGGGAACGCCAGCGAGGGTAAGGTCAGGGGCGCCTCACTTCTGCAACCCAAAGTTGGTTTTGCATATCTTGCAAGGTCGCAGCCCTCTTCGGGGTCTGTCCGTGTAGCAGGGCAGTTGATGAGTTCAGACCCGGTGGGAATGGATCAGGGTCCTTTCCTGCAGAAGGAAACTCGATGCTAAGGAGGCCTCACCGTCAACCTCCTAATTTAGGCTGGGCAAATGGGGAGAGGTAAGTAACTCTCCTGTTCAGACACGTTTTTATTTCCCTTTGAGAGAAGCCATGTTTGTAAGTTTAATTTAACACATTAAAACACCTCTGCTCTCCAGTGGTATATCTGAGCCCTTGGACAGCGAGGTTTGGTGCAGAACTAAGGGCTCTATGAATGATGTTCCTCCAAGCTGCAGAGGTTTTTTACACTCCAAAATCTGGATGCTTTTACATTGCGGAGTGTGAAAGGAAAAGTAAACCCAGAATGGGACTTTGGATGGTAGGGCATGTGCTTGGTGAATAGCTCGTGGTTTGTTAATATAAACCGTAAAAAAAGCACTAATTGTGCTAGGCTGATGGTAATCATGTGCTTTTCCGTGAGGTTAATCACATTCTTTTATTTTGAGCTTAAGAGACCAGTTGCAGTTTTGAACCAGTGTATTTTCTGAATAGTGTGGTTGTGTTCCTCACTGCTCATGTTTGGAAAGCTCTTGTGCAAACCGAATCGTAGAATCGCTGCGGAGGACTTAAGGCCAGAGCTGAAAAGGGCCGTTATATTTTTGCAGAAAAAATAGCCTTGTTAATAATATGGCACTAGCGTTCACCACGTGCTGTATGTGCCAGGTGCTTTCCATGGCATTGTAATTTAATCCTCACAATCCCAGGAGGTAAATTACTCCTCCTTGCTTGGCAGAGGATGAAGCTGAGGCCCTGGGTTTTGCTTAATACACAGGTGAACAATTGCTAGGGGCACAGGTGATATTTGAACCCAAGTGTGTCTTGCTGCAGTTTTAATTTGCATGGCCCTTCCACTTCAACAGAGCTGCCCTCCAATAAGAATATTCTATTTAGTATGGTACTTTACCCTTAATTCTGTGAATTCTCATTCCTCAGAATAGCCTTATGAGGCAGGTAATGGAGATGGTGTCTCCATTTTAACAGGTGGAGAATTTGAGAGATTGAATTTGTAGTTGATCAAGGCTCCTGAGTCAGGAGGGCTGTGATTCACATCTTTTCTAGTTCTGTACTTTTGTATTTAATACCTATGTTTGTGTTATCCGTAGTGCTAAATTTAAGGTAGCAGGCCATTTGTATACTTAGTTGAAAATGATCTCTTTTAAAAGGTGTGAAAGGTAGTATGTACATTTCTGTGTGTCCTTTCAGCTTCTGGGGCTAATGAAAATTCATAAGACATAAATGAAAAATGGCGAGGGGCAGTTGAATGCCAACCAACTTAAGTATCTGAACTGGTTTTTTTTTTTTAATAGTTCATCTGAAGAGAATTATGACAACTAAGCTTTCACAGATCTAGAATTTGTGTCAAAGCACAGAGAGGTAAATTTTAGTAAAAAAAAAAAAATAGAGTTGAATAACTTTAAGGTTTGAGTTTAGGATCTGATTGGGAAAGGAAAGGAGAAGATTAGGATTAGGCAGCTATTTTTAGAAAGAAATTATTAGAAAGAAGAATTACCCTGGGTAAGAATGGAGGGGGCATATGAACAATAGAAAAGAGTGCCTGACTGTGGGTTAGTTAGATGGCAGAAAACATCTTTGGCAGAAAAAGCCGAGCCATTGTTTTTGAGAGGAGAGCCTTGGCCTGAGTGCTCTGTCTCCATGTTAGCCATTTGTCTGTAATATCGTTTGATGTGCTGTCTTTTTCCTTCCCACTCCCAAAGTCATAAGATCTAATTATGCCTCGTAAAATGTTGCTAGCGAATCCTTTTCCAGATGGCTTAGAGGAGAAGTTAAGTTCCTGTTAACTTATTCAGGATATATTTTGGATACATGTCTGTCTTTGAGTAGAAATTAAATGCATTTTCTGCCAGACTGTATTGTTAAAGTCTTGATTTTCAGTATTTTTCTTTGTCACTCCGTGGAAGTCTCTTTCTCATTTTGATGCTTACGCTGGACATGTATAGTTTATTGGTAGGGCCAAATTGAATGTCTGATGTCTTTTTCTTTTTTTTCTAAATAAGATGAGCTTCTGAAATACTGGAAAGCTTATGGAAGTTAATAACAATATTTTATTGTGTAGCATTGGACAGCTTGAAATTGTTTTCCCTATGTGTTTTATACTTTCAGCAGCCAAATGATGTATGCAGTATGTGACCTCCATTTTGCCGTGGGGAAACTGAGGCCCAGAGGAAGTAAATTACTTTCCTGAGGACATAAATCATATACCATTTATTGTGTGCCAAATATGTGACTGGTACTGTACTAGGCACAAGAATGTCAAATAAAACAAAGCCCTGCATAGCCAAGAGTCAAACCACAAATGGTTTGGTGAATATGCAATCTTCTATAAAAATTGTGAAATGGCAGTTAGATTGCCAAGGTAACACTCACAGAGGATTTTCACACAGAAGTTAGGTTAAAGATAACTAAGAATAGGAAAAAAAAAATTATCTTTTCCTAATTCATCAAACATTGTGTTAGGAGTCCTCAGACCTGAATGAACATTACAATCACTTGGAGAACTTTTTAAAAAGGCAGATTGGTGATTAGGCAACTAGAAATTAAAATTTAAAAGAAAAAATGAATTTCCAGTAGCATCAGGAAATATGGGATATTTAGGGATAGTTATAATGGAATATGTAAAGATCTCTACAGAAAAAAACCATACAACATTCTTGAGATAAATTGAGAAGCTAAGTAGAGGGATATCTCAGATTCATAAATTAGAAAATTTTGTGTTATAAAGGTATCATTTCTCCTTAATACCTTCGTTGCCATCCCAAATTCCCAGCAATTTTTTTTGTGTGTGTGGAAATTGACAAACTGTTTTCTGAAATTTATATGGAAATGAAAAATGGCCAAAAATAGTCAAGATAATCTTGAAGAGAAAGAACAAATTTGGGGGCAGAAATTAAAACAAGGTAATATTGGTGTTAGGAGAAACAAATAGACCACTGGAATACAAGTCAGAGTCCAGAAACAAACCAACAAATGTGGTGACTTATGTGAAAAGTCGGATTGCAGAGTAGTAGGGAAATGCTGGTATTTTCAATAAAGGTTGCTGTGTCAACTGGGTATACATATGGAAACATGAACCTGTTAACCCCCTGCCTTATACCACATATAAAAATCAATTTTAGACTTATTTTTTAAATTTTAGATTGATTTTAGACTTAAATATCAAAGGTAAAACAAAGGTGTAGAAGTTAACATGGGGAATATAGCTTTACAGTCTTAGAATATGTTGGCAAAGATTGGGTTAGAATGACACAAAAAGGACTAAGCATAAGAGAAAACCCCAAGAAATTGGACTACATTAAAATTAAATCTCCTGTTAATGTAAAGGTAGCAACTTACAAGAATGGGAGATTTACCCATGATGTATAAAGAACTAAAATTCAATCAGGACAGTCTGATTTTTAAAATGGACAAAAGTCTTGGGGTGCCTATGTGGCTCAGTCGGTTGAGCCTCCAACTTCAGCTCAGGTCATGATCTCACGGTTTGTGGGTTCAAGCCCCACGTTGGGCTCTGTGCTGACAGCTTGGAGCCTGGACCCTGCTTTGGATTCTGTGTCTCCCTCTTTCTCTGCCCTCCTCTGTATGCTCTCTCTCTCTCTCTCTCAAAAATAAATAAAACGTTAAAAAAATTGTTTTACATAAATAAAACGGACGAAAGTCTTGAACACAGACCCTTTTACAAAGAGAATATCTAATGGCCAATAAGCAAACCAAAATGTTCTTAACCTCTTTAGTAGGAAAATGCAAATTGAAATCACAGTGATATACCACTGTGCACCCGGAAGAGATACAGATGATACCAAGTGTTGGTGAGACTATTGGGCAGCCAGAATACTCTTCCACAGGTCGATGGAGTGTGAATTGGCAAAACCATGCGGTGTAACTCTTTGGTAGTATCTACTAAAGCAGAGCATAAGTATACCCTATTACCTGATGATTCTACTCTTATGATCTACCCAATAGAAATGTGTACATATGTGTACCAAAAGACGTACAAAAAAATGTATGGAGTTCATTTTATAATTCATAACTCCAAACTAGAAATAATCCAAATGTTGATTACCGAAAAATAGATAAGTAAATTGTGGTTTATTCCTTTCAAGAAGTATATAACAATGAGAATGAATAAATCGTGGTTACTTGTAGTAGCTTAGATGAATTTCACAGATGGTATTGATTTTTAAAAAGCTAGAAACAAAAGAATTCATCCTGTATGATTCCACCTAATTTCAGAAACAGACAAAGCCCATCAATTTGTTTGAAGTTAGGATCACAGTACCTCTGGGCCGGAGGGAAGAATTAGTGATAGCAACGGGCCACAAGACCTCTAAGATGGTAGAATGCTGTTTCTTCACCTGGCAGTGTAAACTATGTGCGCTTCTCTTTATGTATGTTATTTCTTTTCTTTCTTTTTTTTTTTTTTTTTTTT